GTAATTCACAATGGGAAGCTCAGTGATGCCTTTGAAGTGAAGTGAAGACGGGAGTGAGACAAGGTTGCTGCCTACAATCACCAATGATCTTCCTGATTGTACTCGACTGGAGTGGACTGGACTGGATCATGCAGCAGACAACTGTGAAGAGAGCGAGAAGAGGGGCAAACGCTGACAAGACTTATGAAAAGATCACAGAAGAAGATTTGGATTTCGCCTATGACTTGTGTCTAATGTCACACAAGCTTGAAGATCTACAGGCAAAATCCAACAAGTTGACAGAAGAGGTGAGGCAGCGAAAACAGGACTTCAAGTGAACGTAGAGAAGACAGAGGAGATGAAGATGCTCAACCAACACCACCACTAGCAGCAACAAGTTTCAGTCACCATCAATTGCAGAAACTTAAAGGAAGAAGCCTCTTTCATCCACCCTACTAGGCATCATCGTTTCAACCACAGGCGGCACACACGAGGATGTCAAAGCAGTCAGGATCGGAAACATAGCAAGACAGGCCTACATTGACCTGAAACCAGTGTGGAGATCTACTGCACTCAGCATAAAGTGTGAACAACATCCGGATTTTGAACACCAATGCCAGTCAATTCAGTGCTGCTATGTGATGGTTAAGAGACTTGACACCTTACGAAAAGCATTTCCAACAAACTGCAGACATTCATCAATAGATGCTACGCTGGCTCTAAACTGGAGATGGAGATCAGATGGCCAGAATAATAAGAATAAGCAAGAAGGAACTCTGGTTGGCTGGTAACGAGCCAACCAAGAACGCATGGCTCAACAAATATGCAGTGAAAGAAAGTGTAGATGGATTGGGCATACAATGAAGACACCATTTGGAGACATCACATTCCAGGCCATCGAGTGGAACCGGCATGTGAAACGGCGAGATGGTCGTCCGATGTGAGGGTTACATGGAGGCGATAGTGTGAGGAAGAAATGGAAGCTTGTGGACAGTGGTGAAGCCAGGTTGAAATGATTGCGGAGAAGAGAGTGGAATAGAGACGTGCTAATGAAGCCCTTTGTTCCACTAGGAACCAAAGGGAAAAATATAAATAAAATCAAAATAAATGGCTATGGCTTCACCAAACTTCAGGAGAATGAAGCTTGTTTGTTTGTCTATTATCTTGAAGGAATAGAAGATATTTGGTGGATGACCAACAACAATCGGCTGCAGATTGATTGCTTTGTTCAGAGGGTTACTTCCCCCTAGTCATAGAATGTTTGGAATGTTTTCATAAAGTCTTAAATACACCCTTCTTTCTGTTCTGCCAATGCATCTTCTTCGGCACCTACACTTGGGATCTGGCAAAGCATAGTACAGTAACTAATGAAAAGAAAGTTAAGAATACTTACAGGACAATATAAAATATATATGTGCCACTTCTATACTTTTCATCAATAATTGACATCAGATAGAGGATTACTGAACATCTGACAGCAATAAATAACTGTTTCCTCCCGGGTTGGGTCTCTTCAGCTGTGCACGCTGATAACCTCGTGTAGCATCAAGCATGGGGTAGTCAGGTATCATCTGTAAACGACTTACAGATATCAGTATCATGTCCATAATCCATTAGGTGTTTCGTTATTGAGCTCCTCGGGGCATGCTTCAACCATCTGGATAGACAAAACCCCCTCCATACGACGGATGTATTCTCTTCCGCAGGTACATTCGAATTGATATATGTATTTAGATGTATCGCGGATCAGATCCCTGTCTATCCCTGATTGTTGCAGTACCCTTTTGCTGGTGATGAGGAGAACAAGTTTAGCAGCGTAGACTTCTCCGGTCTTCGTCTAACTACCTCTAGCACGTTGTCACCTTTAAATGACAAGGTGATATAGACTGGTTTCTTTTTCACTTTTGGGAACATCCAAATTGATATATACCAATTTGAATGTACCTACGGAAACGAATAAAGTGGTCGTACACAGAGGCATCTATCTACCCAAATGGTTGAAGCATGCCGAGAAGAAGACTACGAGGAGCTCGATGAGGAAACACCTAGTGAATTATGGACATAATACTGATACCTGTTAGTCATTTAAGGTTATCAGTAGACAGGGAAATAATAAATTGCTTGGAATTTTCAGAGGCCTGTGAGATCGCGAGTTGTCAAACCAAACTTCTGCATCCAGAAGGAAATGGTAGTCAGCTTGTTCCGCCTAATTAACCTTATTCCTATTACCACTTTTATCATTATTAATCATCTCAATATGCATTTGGTTTTCTCATTATGTCTGCATAAGTAAGTACTATTAACTATCTTGTTTTCAATGATGATGTGATCGACGCTTAATCGACTTAGTTCTAACCGATGTATCAACATTATTATTGTTGTGAAGATGAATGGCGGGTAGCGGTGGAATCGAGAATTCATATTTCCTCCTCTCTGGGACTCGTCAACTAGATGTACTGGCCTCCCGGCGAGTGATGTTGTCCCTACCGGGATTCGAAGCCGGGAGCGACCGCCTCACACGCCATAGAATTATCCACTACACTACAAAGACACGACGCCTTGGACTTACTATTATCCAAACTCCTCTAATCTATCCCAAACCCATTCAACTTTGAATATTCATTTCTACCCTTTGTATTACCATTTGACCCGTAAAAACTGTACACTTCTATATTGTTACACCTAAGTCTACGCCTCAGTCTGCTTTAGTTATTTATGTTTGTATATATGTTCATTTATATTGTTTAACGGTCCATATAATCAAGTATGTAGAGAATCCAGCTGACGAGTACTACTGAAATTTATGAATTCATTGAATCCTGCTTTCTTCATATTCATTACTTGTTGAAAGTATCTATGAGTTGAATCCTGCCTGAAAACGGAAGTTTTACGCCTTTTGAAACCCTCATATCATCAGTGACAGGAGGCATATAGTTTCCTTAGCCAGTTGGGGTTTCATTGAGGTGCATATAGCTGTGACATCGAAGAACACTATTCATTAGTCGGCTCTTATGCCGATATCTTTGATCATATACCAGAATTCTAACGACAATTTGGCAGAATGTCCTAAAGATTGCATAAAGTATTTCGGTCTCCTTGAAAGTTTTCTGGACAGATTGAAAATTAAAGTCATCGGAAATGAATCTGTCCCTTGTGGAGGGATGTCTGGTTGGCGTAATTTTCATCTACCTCAAAAAGCAGGAAGAACGGGTTCCCTCAATTTAGTTCCCCATTTCTCTTACTTTGTTATTTCTCCTGACCTAATAGAGTTCTGGTGATCTGGTTATCAACCTTTTGGATAGGGTTAACTTCAAGTGGATGATATACATTCTTAACTTTGAGTAAATCCTCTGCCTTACGGATAGTCTTTTCGTTTTCTATGACTATAGTAGTACACCCTTTGTCCACCTAGAAGATGCCAATTACTTTCCTATCTTTCAATCTATTTAATATTTTGTCTTGCTCAATGGTCGACTGAATGGAACATTTCTTCTCTCTGATCAGTTGAACAATTGTCTGACGTATTTTCTATTCAATGTCTTCATTTATTCCTGATGTTATAAGTGAAGATTCTAGTGTAGCAAATTATCCTGATTTTAAGACATCTCATATATAGTAATTCAATTCCATTTTTATCAGGGGTTGCTTAAATGAGTTGGGAACATGGTTGTTCGTTCCTCCGTTGCAGGTGTTTCTGAAACTTAAGATCAGGTTTCTCTTGATGATTTTCTTTAGTGGAACTTGTTTCTTTACTTGTAATTGTTAATGCTGTCATATATTGTGTTGTAAGTATGCTTTCCAGTGTTTTCGTATTGTTGTCAATGACAAGTTAATATTTCCAGATCCCATAGTGTACTTTTGTATTCATCACTTTCACTATTTGTCTTACATGTTGATAAGTTATTCTACATTCGGTCAGGCTTTCATTGGTGATATATATTTGGTAGTCTTCAGAAGGAAATGTTCATTTCTATGTAGTTTCACCTATATTGATGTCTCAGTTTACTTCCTATATGTATGTATAAATGTTCATTGGCATTGTTCAATGGTCTATATAATCAAGTATATAGAGTATCCAGCTGATGAGTACTACTGAAATTTAGTAATCCATTGAATCCTGCTTTTTTCATATTTTTTCCTTGTTTTAAATAATCACCTGTTTTTGAATAGTTTTGTTCCAAATGAACACTAAGTTTCAAATGTGAGAAATGTGAACGTGAACCATACTTATCCAGTCTAAGGTATATCAGTCCATACAGATAAGCTAGTTAGATTTGGGTGATCTGAACTGATTTGTCCAGGTACAATGCTGATGAGCTCAGCAACGAACTTACTAAACCTCTGTCCACTCTAATCTGCCTAGTAAAATACTTCACATCAGTCTGAGGAGTCTCTTGCTGGGACGAAACAGTTGTCAAGTGCTCTCAAGTTTCAAGTGTTTCTCCCACTGTTATCAGTTCATGATGAATACCAACCGGAAATCAATAATTAAATCCTTACAAGCCTCAAAATTATTCAAGTTGTTTGGTAGTATTATATTTCGTCAGTTACCGACACATTTATGTGAGAGATTACACCATGTGATGTTGGCTAGGCAGTTTCCTACAGAAACTCTGCTGATATACCATTCAGATATGAGAAATGTCAACTTGGTGAATGGAGTTCTTAAACTATTTACAAATTAGTAAATCCAAGTAAGCTATCCAAATTTAGTTGATCTGAGTAATTCAGCTCATTTTAACGAATTTATCTGGGTGCTTCATTTCCTCTTCTCCTTCTTTATTGATTTGCTCTTCATGAGCCCGCCTTGTCTTTTGCGTTTCTCTTCGCAGAATCCTTACCCATGGCTGATAATTCCCTATGATTTCTGCTACCCTGTCAACATATACTACTTATATCCAACGTTATCAGCAACGCCCACTACAGCACTACTGAAATTTATGATTTCAATAAATTTTGCCTTTTTCTTAACATTTTTTGCTTGCTTTAATTTTTTTTCTATTAACTTTCTTGAATTTTAGATACATATGAAAATTTCTATGATGACTACTGTTTAGGTTTAATGCTAAAAGGAGTATGTCTTCGATGTCGAGGACAACCATTTCAAGCTTTTATGTGTTTCACTGAGATTTTACAATCGTGAGTATAATTTAATTATTCTTACTATTATAACAAAATAATAATAACGTATTCATTAGAGGTAGTATTCATCATACAATGAAATCAGTTGAAGAACCATTGAAAACCTGAAAGCACTGAACAGCTGTTGGAAGTTGATTTGGTTCAAAATTTCCTACTTCTTATTCATTTGCTTTAATTAGTTGTAAAATTTTCCATATCTGTGATACAGATCGGTGTTGCGTCATTCTTATCACATGTGTTGGCTAGGTGTTGATTCGATGAACAAAGATTCAATAATCAGTCCCCCTCTCTCCACTCAATTGGACTTGAGTACAGTGATTTTATCCCACCCATCCTATTGTGTGGTTGTGTGTTAATGCATGCACTGCAATAGCCGAGTTCTTTTTCTAGATTATTGGTATTATTCAGGTCTGTCATTCTATATTTAGCTAAACGTCTACGTTCCACTATTCTAAATGACCCCGATCGACTAGTTTAACCCTAACAAATGTTTAGTCTTGCACCTTAAATATGGTGGTGATATGTGGATTACACATTCACTATTGTGTTGAAATCAGAACAAATCGACAGGTACCTCACACATATAAACTCAGTAGTAGACGCAATCCAGTCCACTTACAAGTTAGAAAAATAACAAGGAGAGTTACCTGTGTTGCATTGCAGAATAAAATGAAGGACAGACGGTGAGTGGGTTGGATACTATCATCTAAAGGAAACAGACACATTCCGTCAAGTATTTAGACTTCAAGTCATCTCACCCAGTATCAGTCAGTTAAGGGAGGTCTAGTCAAATTTATCAACCTTTTAGCTAGAAAACTGACTAGTCAGTGCAAGGACCTAAACAAGGAATTGAAACATGTAAAAGAAGTGCTGATAGTTAATAATTATCCTCTGCATTTTATTTAAGAAATTCGTATGAACACTCAAGAAACGAAATAATAACAGTAACACCAGTACGAATAATAACGGCAAAGTGAGCAGAAAGGAGTTCACAGCCTCCCTTGTGTTACCTTATTAGGAAGGTACACCAGAAACTTTATGTAAGATTCTCAACAAAGCTGAAATTAGGGTGGCATTTAAACCTACAAACTCATCCGGAGATCAACTTTGTCAGCTTAATGGCCTGCTAGATTCAATTAAGGAAAATAATCTAACCTATCAAATTCCATTTAATGTCTCTGAAGTCAAGTACATAGATGAAACTAGCCGGTCGGGTTCAGTTAGAATAGGGGAACATAAGAATTTAGCTAAGCATAGGATAATAGACCCCAATATTGCAATGCAGGCATTAACAACCAACAACACATGTGATAAGAATGACGCAACACCTATACAAGAAATACTGCCAATGAGATGGGTGATAGGAATATAAAAACGAGATGTTAAATGTGGAGTGTGATTACACATTAATATGATTATAAGCAATGATAATTAATGCTCAAAAAGCTGTCATCAAGTAAGTACTACTGTGTGTGCTGTATATGAAATAAACTAAACTAATATGGAATTATACACTAAGAGAATGCTAACGGAATATTTAAGAAATTTTTGACGTATAGCACTTAAAGTTGTTCAACTGTTAACGTTAGACTTGTTTAAGTTACGTCACAGTCTTCGCAAGAACTGGCGTGGAATCATACTCCTGTTCACACCAAGCAATATATTATGCCGCATCATCCTGGAGAGACTAAAAAATGCTCTCGATTCAAAACTTCGACCGGAACAGGCTGGCTGGCCGACTGGCTTCAGGAAGAACAAATCATGTGCCGATCAAATTGCAACGCCACGCTACACTACGCATCATCATAGAACAGAGCATAGAATGCCAGTCAACTCAAATCAACTTCATCGATTTTGAAAAGGCCTTCGACAGCGTTGACCGAGAAGTAATTTGGCAGGCAGCTGCTTCAACACTACGTTTTTAGTGCCACAAACCTTTATCAACCTCATTCAACAGCCATATGTCACATGCCAAGTAATTCACAATGGGAAGCTCAGTGATGCCTTTGAAGTGAAGTAAAGTGAAGTGAAGACGGGAGTGAGACAAGGTTGCTGCCTACAATCACCAATGATCTTCCTGATTGTCGTTGACTGGATCATGCAGCAGACAACTGTGAAGAGAGCGAGAAGAGGGGCAAACGCTGACAAGACTTATGAAAAGACCACAGAAGAAGATTTGGATTTTGTCGATGATGACGATTTATGTCTAATATCTTATGTCACACAAAATCGAAGATCTACAGGCAAAAACAAACAAGTTGACAGAAGAGGCGAGGCGAGGCGAGGCGAGGCAGCGAGGGAAGACTGTACTTCGGTTGAATGTAGAGAAGACAGAGGTGATGGAGATACCCAACCAACAACCACAACGATAACAAAAACACCAATCACCATGAACACGAGAAACCTAAAGGAAGTAGTCTATTCCACCCAACACCTAGGAAGGCAGCATAGTCTCAACTACACGTGGCGACAAAAATGAGGACGTAAAAGCTAGCACCAGAAAGACACCAAGATACGCCTTCCTGCATCAATCTGGAATAATCAGTGTGAAGATCTACTTCATTCAGAATAAAGCACCAACAAAATCCGGATTTTCAATACCAATGCCAGTCGAGTCAGTGCTTCCACACTACATGGTTGAGAGACTTGGCGCGTTGTGAAAAGCATTTCCAACAAACTATAGACATACATCATCAACAGCTGCCACCTACGCTCACTCGATACTGACACTGAAGATTGATCAGATGGCCAGAATAATAAGAATGAGCAAGAAGGAACTGTAGCTGGCTGGCTGGCTGGCAACCAGCCAACCAAGCACCTGTTGCCGAATAAATATGCAGAAGTAAGTGGAGATGGATTGGGCATACAATGAAGAGACCATTTGGAGACATCACATTCTAGGCCGTCAAGTAGAACTCAAATGGGAAACGACAAGTTGGGTTTGTGAGGGTGACATGGAGGGGATGGCGTGAGGAAGGAATGAAAGCTTGTGGGCAGTGGTGGAGCCATGTTCAAGAGACTGCAGAGGAGATAGTGAAATAGAGACGTGCTACTGAAGTCCTATGTTCCACTAGGAACCCAAGGGACAAATAATAATGATATAAGTTACGTCACCTACTACAAACTGAAACATCAAGGACAAGCTACTGATGAAAGACAATGTTTACATGATTTCACGATGGTAATCTACTGAAGAGAACACTGGTTATATTTGTGTTGAGGTGATAGGATTTTCAGAAATCATTATCAACATAAAATGTCATCATTGAGAATTGAGGGATGGGAAAACTTTTTATTCTCTGAGGTTATCAGTGTAACAGTTGATATACACATGACTTTTCCCTGGGGTTGTTTGGTTTGGTGGTAAGTACTCAGCTCTTCGTTCACTGGTGGCTGGTCGGTTGATAGCCTAGTAAACCAAATGAGCTAGTATCATTTTTCAGACATCTGTCCTCACTGTCAACTTGGTTCATCAACTGCCTATCTTGCTGTCAGAATTCGATAGTAGATATCAGCTTAGTGTGCCTACAATTCCATCAACTCCTGTCCACCTAAACAACATTGATGCCGTCACTGTAATTCTTGGGGGCCATGAAGACGGCTTTGACACCAACACACACAACCACGTGTACAAAGGTCATACTCCAGATACCTCAGCAGGTGCCATTCTCCATAGGTAGGTAAATCTCTTGGCTTGATAAATGATTTTCATGCTCATGCACCTGCCCACTGAAAGAATATCGAGAAGACTACTGATCCCCCATCTTTGGCAGTCAGGCAGATGAAAGCCAAAGACATTCCGGCCTAGTCTGACCCCACATAACATTCTTTTGAAGAGGGAGACGATAGAGAGATAGACAAAAAAGCCTAGTCTGGAGAGGAACCAATCAAAATACACCTTGTGTGGTCATACCTACAGGTAGACAGACAGACAGACAGTGGATCACTCAATTAGTAGGATTATTATAAACCTCAAACTGTACATACGTATTAGATATGTTTTCCTTCAGTTCTGGGTCTTTAGTCTTTCGACCCCAGTACACGTTTCTACACGTTCATCATATCTTCTCCATTGATTATTCGGGTCGGGAATCAACTGGGAATTGTTGAATGTTGGTGGTTAACAGTCAGTATCTGGGCATCGTTAACAGTCACAGCACATAGCAGTTTCCGAGCCATAACATCGATTATTTTGCACTTTGGTCACGAAGTGACGAAGCGCTCGATTGGGATATGCTTTGATGACTACAACCAACTAACAACCATCGATTTTTGTTTAAATCTCAGAGAGGATATGAGTTCTCCTAAGTTTCAGAAATACCTTACTGATGGGTACCAGCAAGCAAGAAACTTAGGTGGTGGAAGATTTCCTGCTGATCGCCTCCTACCAACTAACGTTGAATCGAATCACAAAAAGTTCTTGTTTCTCAGCCAGTAATGAACTTCTAACTTGTAGATTGCTTGTCGAAAAAAACTACTACATACCCCTAATTTTGCATAGCTTCTGCCTACTGTTTTATTCATGACTTTAAAATAACTTACATGGCTGGTTTCATACCGTTACTAGCTTTTCTCCCCTCTACTCTCAAGCCTGAATTCTCATTGGTTCTTAACTATGTGGATTTAGTGTTGTCAAGGTCATTTAGAAATGTATATATTCAGCATCTCTGTCAACTGTATTGACTGCTGTTAAGACAGTAAAGTGCTCTTTGTCAACGGTCTGTCTTTACCTCCTGTCTTTGTGTGTCGGTGGTATTGTTGTTGTACGCATTAGGCTAGGGTTCGTTTGTAGACTGTTAGGTTGTATTGCCGGTTATAGCGAAAACACCGTCCTAATGAAATATTATAGCTTCATATGAGTTCAGTGTAAAAGAAGTCTACTCTGATGACTGCATTGAAGAAGAAATGAATAAGCTGAAAATAACATTGAAGCAAGCTGTTTATGCGCTAGACTTCATAAATAAATACATGTTGAAACCTAGAGGTGATACTAACTTGGATACCTTAACAGGGCGATCGAGTAGATCTATTGAAAGAATATTCAGTCGAGTGAAATATTTCATCACCTTGTCAATCAAACTATTACTAATAAAACAAATCAATGATGATCAGTTCAACGGGTATATTTGAGTTCCACTACTCATATGAGGCTTGTTACATAGTTCCTATTCAAAATTCATGATCCATAAACGTTCATGAATATATATCAGTTTGATTAGGGAAATGAACGTTAAAATGTATCAAGTGTTCAGTCCTTTCGTATTTAACATTTAAGAAAATTTTAAAAAAGAATTGGTGCTCATTGGTGACTGGTTTCGAGAGGTATTCCCGAAGTTCCAATGAGAAGTCGTGACCGGTGGGGGCAAAGCCTGATGGTCGTGAGGACAGTTACTCAAAGATGACATTGGGTGTTGGTTGCACTATATCGTGAGCTAACAGAAGTTGGAAATATGGAGCATCGGATTCTGAACCAGTGTCTCAATGGTAACGTGCTGATTACAGAACCCGAAAGTCTCAGGTTCGATCCCTGGCTGGGTCGTGGATGCGTACTGTTGAGAAGTCCCATACTAGGACGAGACAGCTGTCCAGTGCTCCCAGGTTTCCTTTGTTCCTCCGACTGATGTCAGTGTACGATAAATAACAACTTGAAGTATTTCTAAATCCCCACAACTCTCTCGAAATTAGATCATATATTTTTATTATGATCTATCATGTCTTTTATAGTCTCCACAAATAGGCACCAATACACTTCTGTTTGAATAACCAAAACTGTAGTAAACAACATAAGAAAATTTAATCACAATGTTTTCGAAAGAAAGTTGTTCATCCACTTTGTCTGCCTTGAACTAAAATAAGGTTACTTTATGAACTTATCTACCACAAAGTTTATATTTTAACCTCTTCTACCATTCATTTCTTTCATCTTTCATATTCCATTGATAAACATTCATTTATGCATATTACTAACTGTATATCCATTTCTTTTATATAGTAAAAAGAAACTGAAACTTGATACCTATTTACTACCATATTGTGAAATGGAATTATGTCATTTATCCTATGAGGAAGGTGATATTGAAGAGGCTATAAAGCATTTAGAAAAAGCTTTGTAAGTTTCAAGTGTATACTAATGTTGTATTGTATTATTGTAAAGCATTTACTTTTGAACGATTTTGTGTTATTGCTTGTATTACACCGTCGTTGATTGGACTGAATTGATCAATCTCTGTTGGCATATAGGCTTCTGTGCAGATGCCTCGATATTGCCTGGATTCCACTGCTAGCCACTATCCATCATTATTATACATGACTTTATTATGTGTCTAAATGAAACAAAGTGAAATTGGTTCCAGGAAATACTGGATGTAATTAAGAGAAAATATGTTTTGTCCTAATATGGGACTCTTCAGCAGTGCACACTCACGACCTTGTCAGGGATTGAACCCCACGCTTACAGATTCCGTGGCCAGAACTTTACCAATGAGCCACTGGGTCAGGATACATTAGTTCATATCTCCAACTTCTGTCAGTTCACGATGTACCGTAACCTCCATTTAATGTTGACAATGAGTTACTCTTCATCCATGTATGAACACCTAAGGCTTACGTTTCCACCATTTATGCAAAGCTTAAGCATTTGATATATATGAACAAAAATCAAAACTTTTCATTGAAAAACATTTTGTGAAACCATTTTCTCTACTTTCACCGTAACAATTCACTTCACTATAATATACTTCTCTTTTATTATCATCAGTAGCCTCTTTCACCTAGCACATAGGCAGCACCGTCTCAACTACATGCGGCACAGACGAGGATGTCAAAGCAGCAAGGATCGACAACACAGCAAGACAGGCTTTCATTAACATGAAATAATCAGGGTGGAGATCTACTGCACTCAGCATAAAGTGTGAACAACATCCGGATTTTGAACACTAATGCCAGTCAATTCAGTGCTGCTAAATGATGGTTGACAGACTTGGCGTGTCACGGAAAGCATTTCCAACAAACTGCAGACGTTCATCAACAACTGCCTACGCCGGTTCGATTCTGAAGATCAGGTGGTCAGAATGAATAAGCAGCAAGGAACTCATGGGAATGGAACCAACCAAGAACCTGTTGCCGAATAAATATGCAGTGAAAGAAAGTGTAGATGGATTGGGCATACACTGAAGAGACTATTTGGAGACATCACGTTCCAGGCCCTCAATTGAAACCTATATGGGAAACGACGAGATGGTCGTCCGATGTGAGGGTGACATGGAGGAGATTGTGTGAGGAAGAAATGAAAGCTTGTGGGCAGTTGTGGAGCCGGGTTCAAAAGGCTGCAGAGAAAGGAGTGCACTAGAGAGGTGCTACTGAAGCCCCCCCTATATTCCACTAGGAACCCAAGGGATAAATAATAATAATTTACCATCATCATTATCACTAATTTTCACTTCATTGACACCATTCGACCCATATTTCATTAGTTAATATCAATTGGTTTCCTTATTCAACGACCCTTTTTCTATTTCTTCCATATGAACAAATCCCAACCTTCAACGTTAATTGAATATTTGGTATATTGACTCACCAACCCTTTTTTAGTGCAATTTTCTATCATTTTATTGATTAAAAATATAACTTTACACCTTGATAATGAAGTCGTTGAAAAGAAATGCTTCTTCTTCGCTGATACATGTCTTGTTATTATTCATGTATAGAAATAGGTATATTTCGTTAGTTGACTAAAAGATTGTATTCGAACTAACGAATTTTAAATTTCCCGCCCAACTTATTCATCATTTATTTAAACAAAGGAAAACATGGTGTTATTGCTTGTATTGCACCGTCGTTGATTGGACCGAATTGATCAGTCTCTGTTGGCATATGGGCTCCTATGTGGATGCCTCGATGTTGCCTGTCTTTTAACTATGTTTAGTAATGATGGGCAGTGGCTAGCAGTGGAATCCAGAATGCGCATTTTGTCCTATTTGGGACTCGTCAGCTGGATGTACCTGCTCACCGCAAGAATTTCAGCATTTCAAGTCCACTGTTCTGGATTGCTGTCACCAATTTACCAACTCCAAAATCAGTTCTAGCTCTTTATTAACCAAGGACCATATACAACAGCTAAAACTAATCAAAGATAACAGGGATATTATCATAAGCCGTCCTGATAAGGGAGGAGGCATTGTCCTAATGAATCGTCAGGAGTATACTGATAAACTTTCCGTAATCCTCTCTGATCCCACTAAGTTTACTAAACCCGAAGGTGAGCCCAATAAGACACATATAATTGAAACACAACTCACAAATGTCTTAAAAAGCATGAGGGATAAATCAATAATTGATCCTGATTTATATGAACGTATCCGACCGGTTGGCTCTATAATCCCACGTCTATATGGACTACCGAAGATACATAAAGCGGGATTACCTCTTCGTCCGATCCTCGATATGGCTGGTTCTCCCTATCACCGAACTGCTCAATGGTTAGCTGAAATTCTGGAACCTGTTAGAAGGCAAGTATCGAGTTTTTCTATCCGTGATACATTTCAGTTTGTTGAGGGATTTTAATGCTCTAAACAAGATGATGTTTTCATTAGACGTCACTTCATTGTTCACGAGTGTGCCACTCACCGAAACTGTCTGTTATGTATGTGACTATATTGATGCACATAATTTAGACGTAGGACTACCAACGAGCTGCTTGAAAGAGCTTTTGTTGAGGTGCACATTTAATGTCCAATTCAGTTTCAATAATGAAATCTATAGACAGAAAGATGGAATTGCGATGGGGTCACCATTGGGACCACTGCTAGCAGATTTCTTCATGTCGAAACTAGAAAATTCACAACTTCGTCAAACTATTGATAGCTTTGACTTTTATAGAAGATATATGGACGACACGTTTGTTATTTGCGACAAAAATGTAGACCTCGACGATGTGCTTCGTTCATTCAATGAATGTCATCAAGCCCTCAAGTTTACTATAGAGAAGGAATCAGAATCAACTATTCCTTTTCTTGATGTGCTTCTCACCCGACGTCAGAATGGATACCTTAAAAGATCCATCTACAGAAAACCAACGTGGAACGGACAACTAACTAATTTTTATAGTTGGGTGCCCATCAACAGAAAAAGAAATCTTATTCACTCTCTTTGCTATCGAATAAGAAGTATCTGTAGTGACGATTGTATCGAGGAAGAGCTATCTTTTTAAAAAGCATACTTGTCGAAAACGGTTACCCTAGCCGTTTTATTGATAAAAATATGCGGGAAAGAAACACTAAACCAGTCATCCACTCGGTCTCAAAGAAAAGATTGTTTATGAGCCTAGAGTTTAAAGGAGACCTAGCATCGGATGTACTGAAGAATCGTCTTACCAGATCAATCAATAGGACTTTCTTCGCAGCAAGACTCCAGTTGACTTTTACCAGCCGCAACCTATTCTCCACCTGCGTTAAAGACAAGCTTCCTCGTTTGGCCGCCTCTATGTGCATCTACCAGTTCACCTGCTCTTGTGGAGCAAGGTACATCGGCCGTAGCCAGAGAATGCTTTCTACACGTATACGAGAACATGTTCCTGCTTGGTTTTATAAAGGTGAAAGAAAGTCTGTTAGAAGTTCGATTCTAGAACATTTGATTGACTTCCATCACACAACAAATCCAGACGATGACTTTGAAATTATTTATCGAATTCGCCCAAACCTCCCACGTTCTCTTCGTTTTCAACTCCTTAAAACAGCGGAGGCTTTAGCTATTCATGAACTAAGACCTGATCTGTGTGTACAAAAGAAGTATGTGCAGTCACTGTCTTTATCATGGCCATAACATTTTCCCACCCCATTAGCTCCCCCTCCCACTTTGTTAATTTAACCTTTGTATCCTTCCTTTATCACTATTATTGTTATTATAATCGCCTTCACTTCAACTAGTTTCCGGTGTTGTTTCACTTAATTGTCTTAATCCTTTTAGAAAACATTGACTTCATCTTGTCCAATTTGTCTAATGCCATTACATAATACTTAATTGATTTACCATTTTCAACAATTTTTTCACCCCCTTCTGAGTTATATACTCTCTATGTACCATTCCATATATTACATAATCTATTTGTTATCATTCGCACTTCAATTGTTATTATAATCATAAATGCCTATGTCATCACCCGCTCTATTATTATTTCGTCATCACCATATAGTGTTTAGTTTTCCTCACAGGATATAATTTTTTCCAAATACCATATATACGATTGTACAGCTTGAAAATAAATTCGTTGAAAAGAGTCTCTTCGCTGAATATCTTGTTCTTGATGTTACAATGGGAATTATTAAATTATTACAAATATTTACCAAAGTAAAAATCATTGACTTTTTTCACTGTGATTATCTTTCTAAAAAAGTTCATATGGTTTTTATTACTGAGGAAAGATTTTGTAAGCCAGATTAATCTGATCTTTAAAAAAAACAGAAGAATGTTTCACTTCTTTAGGTCTGTGATCATTATCTGACGGAGTCGAATTGTTCAAACCAACAGAATCTAGTTGGTTTGCTGACTAGGATACATTCTTACACTTTATATAAGATGAAAAATTGGTAAGTGGTTGTTTATTAACTGTACAGTTCAACGGAAGACATGTTGATATCATAGTTGAGCAACTAGAAAACTATTCAACTGTGCATCATGGAATTCTTAAATCATTTGCGAATTGTTCATCTTGTTTTCTTTGAACATATTATGGTTTAAACTTTATCAAATTATGAAATATCAGGATGGAAGTGAAATTTGTTGGTTAAAATTCCCTTTATTTATCAATAATTTAACTCACTTTGGAAGTGATAAAAAATCACATAAAAGTTCACTACATGGAGACAACCTTAAAAGAACCTAAAGTAAAACAAAAAAGAAACTTTATTGTACAGATATTTTTGACCTAGAATCCCAATAACTGTTTAGAAACTAGAATTTGGAGAGAAAGGCGTTGAAATGAAAAGTATACTGATTATGGTGATTACTTGTAACCCGAGATTTGGATATCCATACTGAGTTGGAGTTTTAGTTGGCAAAAGTATTAACTTTATACTAGACATTGTGTTTCAAAAAGAAATGAAGTAATCGGTTATTTATAACTTGATGGTTCGTCTGACTCCAATTTGATTGGTCAATTGGTGAGCGTGTGGGCGTACTCTAAACCAGAATGGTTGACTGGTGAGCGTGTGGTGTACCTTAAACCTGATTGGCCAATTTTTCACTTTTAGTTTTCTCACTGCACTATGAAACTATGTCATTAATTAAGATTGTCAGCTGAAGTCTTAGCTCAGTGAACAACTCAATCTGTGAACCAATAAAAAGGAAGCAACTAGTTGTTATGGTTACTCATAACGTGCTACTTTTGACTGACTCTAATTTGATTGGTCAGTTGGCGAGTTTATGGGCGTATCTTGACTCGCTTCTGGTTAGTAGAACTGAAAATTGGCACTTTCCTGAAGAATTAGTTTCACTGGACATGTGCAATGGCTGTGAGAGACACTGTAGTCAATCAATAAGACGCAAAAACTCCTAAAATGACTCACATTTTCTGACTATATTAATCTAACGTTAAACTTTTGATCTGATACTTCTTTTTGATGTATCAACGCCTACATCAGGGGATTCTGTCATACTTTCGTATTACAAGTCATCTGCTAAACATTTTAACTATTGTTCATTGTCATTGTGTGTTTGATTGCGCTTAGTGTTATCAAGTGATGCTTAGGAGGTGATATTTTGATGATCGTAAGGAATACTCTGGTAAAATTGCATAATCCGACCTCAACATATTCTTCAGAACACGGTCAACTTACTTAAATTCTTATCTAAAATAGGCTAACAGGATAATTTTATGAATATTTCTGTTCATTTTAATCTCAGTAAAAAAAAAGTTAGATGGAAACACTAATAGGATTTAGTGGTATTACAGAATCTCTTTGGTACACACACACATACACACATCACTTATTATGAACACACCTAGACAATGCGGTTACATCCCGTTAGTGGAATATAACCAGCCTCTTATGAATTAACAGATGCACAACAATGAATCTCCGCAGGCTCTGAATACAATAAGGAACGAACAGAACTCAAATGTAGGCTGACATAAAGTCTACACAATGACTTCGAACATTCATAGGCAGAGAAGGCTAAAGACATGGAAAAGGCTGTGGTGATAGGTAACAGCAGTCAATTATTTCGACTCATTGGGGAAACTGTGGTGACATCCAGCTACGCAGAGATAGACCTAGAATGCCCAGATGACATACTCGTGTTAGGTGAAGACCCTGACAAGATGCAGAGTCTTCTGGACACCTTGAGTACTAATTTGAGAATGTTTGGATCCATTTTTCTCGTCACTCAAACACAAATTATCACTCTAGGACCGGTCTTCAAAGATTCCCTGAAGAACAAAAAAGAGTGAATTGGATATTTCAGCTACCTGAGAAGTCGGATAAGCCCTGGTGCATTGATCAGTGGCCAACGAAATCTCCGCACAGATAAAAAAGGTTTGGTTGACTTTTGTCAACTTACTCCATATGCTGAGCCACTACGATATCCTAGTGTTTAGTAAAGGTGGAGGGTACTTTGCTGCAGTACGCTCTCTTCTACTCTATCACTGTGAAACATGACCATTAAACGTAGAAGACAGGAGAAGGTTTCAGGTGTTTGACCATTGTTGCCTTCTTAACATAGACCATGTGAATAACGCAGAAGTCAGACGTAGGCTTTTAGGCAGGAGACGTAGGATAATTGATGCGCTTGTGAACCTTCAATGACTCACATTGCTGGCTCCGACATGTGTTACATACGCCTAACCACCGTCTGCCTCATAGCACAATGTTTACCGAAGTGTGTTCAGGCTTGGGGGTGACCAGGCCAAACACTTGGCATCAATGCATCAAGTCCTTCATTGTTTCATGAATACTAGCCGGTTGGGGTCCGCTGGACAAGAGAAACCAGTGAGTTGTTGGAGACTCTATGTGATATGGCCGAGAACCGATGTCAGTCGCCCAGATGTATACACACACACTATCTTCATCTTAACTGCTGTACCTAATCTCATCATCTTCTCATTCTTTCTTCTTTCCTCTTTTTCACCACTTTCTACTTCTACTTCCTTTGACTGATTTTTCTTTCTCTCTTCATTTTCCACTTAATTGCCTAGTTACTTGGTATACTGATATGAGGTGTGTGGCAACTTGGACCGTTACACAGTTATGCCTGGTCAACTTTAACACGTGTGCACTGCTACCATCAAGAATGTTATATTTCGAAATTCGACTAGATTCATTCATTGATTTCTAGTAGTAATTTAAATGTACAGTACATCATTCCCTCTAGTTTCGTTGTATATTTACAAAACTTAGTCTATTCAGGCTGAAAATGTTCAACAACATTTTTGTGTTCTGAATCACTCCTCTTCTTATAGAGTCATCCTTAATGGTGGTCTACTAGATGACGCGATGGTGTTTGAAGCGATGGATAATTTGTCCGAGTCTCAGTGAGAACAAAATTACCAACTGAAATGCAGGTTTATCCAGCTGACGAGTCCTAAATAGGACAAGATACGCGTCAAGCTGAATTCCACTGCAAACGGCTAACAAGTAAATCCTAACAATTAATATTCAGGCAATATCAAGGCATCCGGATAGGAGTCTAACAAATAATAATACATTGAACTAATCCTGAGACCCAGTTAAGTCTACTTTGCATAATAAGGATTTTAACAGTTTGGATGGGCTGAATATATACCGGTAGAGAAGATGCCATGCGAAGTGTACATTGACTGGTTAAACTATGCGAAAGCGTGGTATTTGACACTGCGGAATGAAGAACACCTAGATCACGTTGATATCTGCCAAACTGTAACCGTTCTTCGATTATTATCCGTAAGGCTAATTAACATCAAGTGGTTCCCAAGTACTATCAGACAAGCCGTATCAACTGCAATTGCTTATCTGATGGTACACTAGACGCTTGAACCCACACCACCCATGTTTGTAGTCAGCTATGTTACCGCTAGACCTATGGGACGTTACCTGACATCATTAGGTGTCTTGATTAGTCACTAAAGAGTAAGTAAATTCAGCCCATCATTTTTTAAAGTGGCCACTAAGCTAAAAAGTTCAGCATTGTAATACACTTTGAAAGTCTGTAACCAACTTACTTCTATCAAAAGGCATTACGATGAATAAATCTTGTAGCTTTATGGTTACCACATCGCAAAAATCTGCTGTTGGATTATATCATCACTCAGGACGAGACGTCAGTGACTAATCATTGTATCACTGAAGTTATTTATGTTGTCGTCGGACTGCTAATTCATCTTTTATACTTTTTCAATATCTCAAAAATTCTATCATTCTGTTTCATGTGGCGCATTCGTTTCAAATTCACCTTAAAATTTATTGTTATTATCTTGTTCATTGTATCATTCATATATTTTTAGAAGTTACAAAGGATACCATCTAGAGTCTAGACTACACTTTCGTATACATGAAATGGATAGAACTCTAAGAGAGTGTAAACGAAAGTCTTCAACATCTACTCTTCAATACCAGCAACAAAACCAACACCAATCACAATTGATGAAAAAAACTGGCAGTGAACATCTACTTGTCATACCATCACTGAATAATAATAATAATCATGATAATAAATCAGTATCATCGTTTAAATCTGTAGATATCCCTGTAAATTATTCTTCATCACAATCACCATCATCATCAAGGACAGTAAGATCAAGTGGACGTGAAGGGACAATTATTAATTCATCACCATCAACATCTAATGCGAGACGACTATTCGATGACGATGAATTCGATGACTTAGACGATCCATTCAACTCGGAATCTTTACCTGAAGATTAAATTGATATACAACATCACAAATTTACACAGTAAGATAATTTTCACTTTAATTTTATGAATATTCAAGAATTCTTGAATATTTTGTAATGAAAATAAATGGTTGAATACAGAGCAATGATTTCTAGATTTTCAGTCACGATGCATCATTCGACTGTGAAGTAATGCTGAAGTCAACTTCAGGCAAACAAAAAATGTGGTATTCTGTAGTCTATACAACACACTAACTAAATATTCGGAGGTTTATTTCGTGAGTATGTAATCTGAAGGCACAATGGCGAGAAGGTAAACTGCTCGCCACGAAACCAAACAAACTTGAGTACGATCTCTCACGGATTCGTGAGCACGCAATACTAAAGAGTATCACACTACAACAATACAGATATGCAGTTCATCAACAGTTCAAATAAACCTCCAAATCATGTTAGTCAATCATCAATACAACCTGGAAACTTATAAATATACACAAAGCAACAAATTGAATTACTATTTCTCCTTACAAATAGGAAGTGGACAGTTAGTTGACACCAACCAGCACATTCGGCATAACACAACCACATCTTCTGTTCTCAGTTATTCTCTTTGATGAATGTGAGCATGCACAGCATATGGACTGAGCCCTCTAGAGTAACCAACTGCATGTTTAAGGTCATGAATGCTAATCGAATTCTTTTGAGCATTTTCATAATGTGTCTGACAGTGTGGTAGACTAATGATGGTGGTACACTTTAACTAGTGTTATTTGATTGAAAGCGATAAGCGATAAGCTGTGAATCTGAGAAATTTGAATCTGCGTCACTTAATGATATCATTTTCCCTAGCGACTACCTTCAACTTTCTAACAGTGATTTTAAAAATAGTCCTGAACTCCGTTTACGCACTCAATTATGAACAAATTGTAACAAAGCTAAATACGTTAGATTAAGGGTATACTATTACCTTCTTTTCAGGTGTTCCCACGCTATAAAACTGTGAGATATCCTATAAGTAGACAAATATTCTTCTCATTTTTCCTTATTTAGCTTGAAAAGTTCACTTCATGATCATTTTGTTCGATAATGAGGATAAATCATTAAGCACATCAGTCTACTAATATGTTCATCTTACAATTTGTAGCTGATAGAAACCTTATTGATACAGATTCATCATATATTTGTATATTTTTCATAGCAGTTTTTATCAAAGATCAAGAAAACAACTGGTAACCAAGAGGTGTTGGACAGTTGTTACACCTTGCTTCAGGATTCCATATATATATGTACCACTAAGGATCTCCAATTTAGTAAAAAGCAACTACCCTATGCATCTGGGTTTCTATTGGTTACTTAAGTGATCGGTATTTTCATCACAGAACCCTTTCCCTTATTGAATAAAAAGATATATTCGCCAAATGCGCCTGTTTTTATCTCTTGGGTATCGCAAACGTTTTAATTACTCAACAACATAAAATCTAAAGCATAGGATTTCGTTGAAATATGATTAATTATGAATAAACAATAGTGAACAATAAATAAAAATCTATTGGTTTATCCTTATCAAAGCACCTTACAAAGAGTAAATCAACGGTACAAAAATAAGAGTGTGTAAAAGGCAAACTAAGAAGGAATTTAGAGGACGAAAGTATTTTCCCATGATGAAGTAAATAAACGAGACAGACAAATGTACAAGGTAACACATGAAATCATGAACCAACGGAAATGATCCAAACACTATCAGGAACTGAGAAGGATTCTAATATCTAGATATGTTAAATGATGCAATAACATTTGACACAAATCGATCGTACTACTTAAAAATAATGAGTAGTATAAAACTTAAAATATAAAAAGGTATACAAGGATAATACCATATTGCGTAAGCGGGAACAAGGTAGGGAAGGAATTACCGACCTATTAATCCCCGGTTATATCCACCTGGGACTCGAAGATGTATATTATTAAACAAAGCCAGATTAGCATAAAAACGTTGCTCCCATTGTTTAGTCGTGGAGATTCCATCGTCTTTCTAGACAGCGACATCATCAGTATGAAGTGTGCTGCCAATATCTCTCAAAGGGTGAATTAGTAGCTTGCCCTAATGAACTGGTTTGTTATCGATTGTTTCCTCTGATTGGCGTGTCGTTGGCCTACTGCATAGATTTTCCTATTGGCTGTTCCTCTGCTTCACCCCTGTACCTTTCTGTTGTTGATCATGTTTCTTATTAGCTGGTGGACTGGATCCACGTCTATACATCTAAAGACCTGAATCCCAAACTTCTAGGAATCCTTTGATATTCCTTGTGTGTCCTGCGTCCAAAATTTCTACATTGCCAATCCAATTCAAGTCCATAGTTGTTATCCACGTGGGTTCAGCGATGAGTGATGAAATGTCGCATGTGACGTTTAATAGAATATTGGTGTTCATGTAGACGAAGGCGAAGAGGTCGACCACTTTGTCCAATGTAGTGTTGACTACAGTTAGTTATTGTGGTTGATTTTGTAAATAATATTGGGTTCGTCTTCTCTGATTGTTGTATCCTTTGGTCTGCATAACAGTGTTTGCAGGGAATTTGTTGGTTTATGAGGCGCCACACCAATTCCACCAAGTGGTCTCATTAATCTTGTCGTGATTTCTGATATATATATATATGTACTTTATGTATGGTAGGATGATGCATTTATTGAGTTCTGTCGACGACTTTTTAGTTGATGATGTATGGGATAGTCATCTTCTGATAAAGTTTAGTATGTAGCCATTCTTCTTTAAGATGGACATCAAGTAATTTTCTTCGTTTCTCCATGAATTTGTCGTACTGTAGTGTGTAAGTCCTACTATAATCACTTGCTCATTCAATTAAGCTTGACTGCTTATTGATTATTGATCTTCACAATATTTCATCAGTCTACAAATGGGTCTATTTGATTGACTGATCATTAGGCAGTAACCACTTTCATGGTGTCTGGTTCTTAATGCTAAGCAAATTCATCCTGATTACCTCCTAATCAACTAACATTAGCCAAAGTGAACTGTGATTGTGGGTCTGCTGGATGTTATGATTTGGAAAACTGCTATGTTCTATAACTGTTAACGATGCACAGATATAGACTGTCAGCCACTAATATTCAGCAAGTTCCCAGTTAATTCCCAACCCGACTAATCAATGGAGAAGAGACAATGGATGTGTAGATGTACGTGTATTGGTGTCGAAAGACCGAACACCCAGAACTGGAGGAAAATGTGTCTAATATGTATAGATAGTTAGCTGTTTAAAATAATAATATTGATTGGTTGATCCACTGTCTGTCTGTCCGTCTAACTGTAGACGTGATCACATAAAGTACATTTTGATTTTGTTCTCGAGACTAGTCTTTTCTCTCTATCCATATATCACTTAGTGGTGATCATATCGTAACCGTTTCGGTAGAATTCATCAAGCAATCACGACTAGATAATATGAATTCGGTTATTCTCCAGTGAACAGACAATATATCCACTAAAGGATTACAGCAGGTCAACAGCAAGAGATCAGCTGTAGGCGTTTTGACTGTTAGCACTGGGTGACACCACTTTGAATCTCTCTAGGGAGATTAATTCCCACAAAATTGCAGATACACCCTAATGACAAATGTCAGCAGGAGAGAAACTTAGATTAACTGCTTATCGCTTATCGCTTTCAATCAAATAACACTAGTTAAAGTGTACCACCATCATAAGTCTACCACACTGTCAGACACATTATGAAAATGCTCAAAAGAATTCGATTAGCATTCATGACCTTAAACATGCAGTTGGTTACTCTAGAGTGCTCAGTCCATATGCTGTGCATGCTCACATTCATCAAAGAGAATAACTGAGAACAGAAGATGTGGTTGTGTTATGCCGAATGTGCTGGTTGGTGTCAACTAACTGTCCACTTCCTATTTGTAAGGAGAAATAGTAATTCAATTTGTTGCTTTGTGTATATTTATAAGTTTCCAGGTTGTATTGATGATTGACTAACATGATTTGGAGGTTTATTTGAACTGTTGATGAACTGCATATCTGTATTGTTGTAGTGTGATACTCTTTAGTATTGCGTGCTCACGAATCCGTGAGAGATCGTACTCAAGTTTGTTTGGTTTCGTGGCGAGCAGTTTACCCTCTCGCGGTTGAGTCAGAAGCCCATAGTCTTCACTTTACTATTTCCATCAATTGGCAATGCGAAGCGACAGGGCCATCGATTTGAATTTGTTCTGCCAACTGCTTTGGTCATTTCGTATTATTGTCTAGTTGACACTTAGTGATGATTGTAGGTGAAATGAAAATTTGGACAGCGGCCGCATTCAAATCAGATGCTGTATCAACTGAGCTACGAGGTCCGACTGGTGATCAGATTTTTAATTCACTTCATAAATTACCAACGGTCTTTCCCAGACTACCATGCCTAGTCAAAACTTGCCATCTCAGTCCGAATCTCAGTTAATTAGAGAGGGATTGGAGAATCGTAGTGATTATCATTTTGACTATATAAGTGAGATAGCCGTAGTTTGGCAGGCTAGTATTACTGATACAGGATGATGATTGAGTGTGAAATGAAAATTTGGACCGCAGCTGTATTCAAACCAGGGACTACCAGGTTTCTGGCCTTATGTTCTACCAATTGCGCTTTAAGGTACCATGTCATTAGGTTGTTTGATGAAGTTGACAGGTGATGAATTCTCACTCGAACTCTCAGAAGTTCATCATGAAGGTACTTTAGAGTAATACAATTTCTCCTGGTTGAGGTTTCACTTGATAACTAATTGATAACAGTTAGACATGTTCAATGGAAAACTGTTAATTATATATATATATCGTGATATAGTATTATTCATTTCTCACTTTGTCTCCAATTTCAGATTGAGTATTTTCTAGGAGATGGTGGAAGGATCGGAGGAGAAGCTCAATACTCTTATCTATAATATCATCATCATTGCACTAAATCATCTTTCAAAAAGAGATAAACAATTTCGTTTCTATTTTATTGAACATCTTTAAAAATGAAAAATATGTTCACAATTGAGGATTTCATTTTTCTTTTATAATTGCACAATCATGCCTTACAAATACTACTTTTTAACTGCTGATAGTAGTATAAATAAGAATATTGTTACTAGTAATAATCCACGTACATTTCATATGTATGCACATATTCTTTTGCCTGTATTTCCTCAGCATTCCAATAAACAATACACGTTCATTTAACTTGTATATCTGATTCTGTGATAACATCAAGGTAACCATGACAACGTGTCCGATTTTATAATTGTAATCAGCTATATACTTATCTTTTGGTACTGTCGTCTTCTTATTTTTCAAAAGACGAATGGTTATTCTATTAAGCTTATTTTATATATCTTTTGGAGTGTTTAATATGAAAAACGCATACTACTATAAGTAGTATTATTGTGTTGAAATTGACTATTGAAACAACACCAATGTTTGTTTCAGTATTTCATGGTATGTGTAAATAGTATCTCCTAATTTTTGGCGCTTTTTCAAATCTAAAGGAGATAAACCGATTGAAAGAGATTGTCTTCCGAATTTTTTATTTATTCCCTTATTTGTCTAAATGTTTAGTGTACAACATTCTCTTTCAAAGAAAATGACTTTTATATATACAATAAACGATGTTCGATAGTGATGTTGAATGTATGAAGTTGAAGAAAACTATTTTAGTTGGTGCTACACTCCTTCAAAAGTAGAATATTCAGTATGGAGCTGTGGTGCATTGACTTTTAGAACTTGAATCACAACTAATGAGTCATTAGGTCAACCCTCCGCCCCATATAATATAATTAGCTTTCATACAATAGATGTGGATCATTGCCTATCAAAATAATGCGCATACAGTTGCTGAGTAGATTTCGATTGTTCATTTTGATAGGTAGCAATAGAATTCTGATTGTGTGTTTTGTCCTTATCTGAACTCATCAAGTGATTACATCTCTATGACTTACAGGCTGTCCTAGTAAACACTTAAAAAATCATCGACTATCTGTTGTTCAACTTTGTTGAATCAACTGACAGACTTCACTGTTCTTCAACAGTCGTCTATATGTCACTATAAGTACTTTCAGTAATAAAACTTGTTATACTATAGTATACAACACGAAGGTAACAGGGTGACTTGAGTACAGTATTGATTTTTCCGTAAGATTGATCCATAAAGACACACACACACATTCCCAGCACTATAATGATCACCACTTCAACTTATTGTAACTTTGAGTAGTGAGATTCTCTTTGGACAATGAACTTTCTTCGTACCCTATATGTTAGCAAAGATATTCTCAAAAGACTGTCGGTCGATAGCATCGAATAGTTCAAAGTAATCCTTCACAATGCATATTCGAGTCGGTTGGTAGAGAATGAAGAAAACAGTTATGCCTATGAGTTAAAGAAAATATGTCAGTTGTATCATCTGAATGTATATCAGTGTAAGACAACAAAAACAAACATGTCACACAACTGTTACAAAGATGACTATTGTAGTATCGATTTCACAGTCATGAAAACATTATATATTTCAAAAAGCCTCCGGCCAACTTTGTTAAAAACATTCAGATAGTAAAGTCCCTTATTAGCTAAATCATACTCTAATAGTTTGTTAAGTGAATTACTCAATTTCTATCGTCAACTTACCAACCGTCCACTCTATCTACCACTGAAATATTCAATTAGGTTTCCGTGTTTCAAATGAAATTAAATTTGGTTGTTTCAGAAGTTAGTAAGTCATGCTGAAGTCAGATGAAGAGTATTCAGGCAAGACAGATAAGTCGATTGATAGGGTTATGGATCTTAGTCGACTGAGATGGCTTGGATATCTACTACACATGCTGACTCATCGCCCAACTTAACATACCACGCTAAGGTAACTTGGATTAGGTTGAATTAGAGTTCAGGATGGTCATACAAAAACGAGGCACAAGTAATATGAAGTACTTGATTGTTGACCTGAACCATGTGAGGCAATGTAGACTACCTGGTCTAAGGTCCCCAACACGATAGGAATCAATAGTTGAGGATCTTTGGTGGCATAGCTGTAAATCAGTCACAATGGAGCAGACGCATTCACTCTTTGACATCTTCTAAAGGTTGAATATTTGCCCTAATTGTTTATTCACTCACATTACTTTATCTAACCTCGCCTGGTTAACTAGTTCACTAGTTACTAGCCGGTCCTAATACCGGGTATACAGGGAAGGTTGGGCATACGGCTACCAACCCTACCCTGTAAAACCAATTCAACCGCCACAAAAACTTCAAAGCACAAACAAAATATAAAAAATAATAACAAAATTATTCCTAGCTGGAATCCGAGAGACGAAATGACACCGGTTGGTGAAAGCCTTCAAGAAGCCAATTCACCGATGTGTCTTCTCTCCCTCCATGAAAGTGAAAGCAAACGTGGGGACATGGAGTGTCCGCACTATGTTTGAACCTACCAAGGCTGCCCACATTGCAAAAGAGATGAGAAGGTATCACATCGAAGAGCTAGGAGTTTGCGAAAGCAGATGGAATGGAAGTGGACTCTCCAAACTGTCAACTGGAGAGTCAATAATTTACTCCGATATTCTCACCCACACGACAAACACGAACACACTGAGTTCTCGAGTGGCTATCATGATGTCCCCAACAGCATCAAAGGCCGTCTCTCATGCAGTGGGAACCAATCTTCTCATGCAGGATCATAAAGGCAAGGTTCAACTCAAACGGAAGGAAAGTCACAATCACACAATGCTACGCTACTCACCTACAAATAATGTAGACGAAGAGAAAAAGGAGGAATTCTACAGACAACTGTAATCAGCACTGAACAAGACCTCAGTTAGCGATATCAAAATTCTAATGGGTGGGGTTACATGAATGCCAGACTAGGAGCAGACAACACAGGAAGAGAAATAACCGTGTGTCGAGAAGCGCTCGGTGAGTTGATGATCGAGAATGGAGAATTGTTTGCAGAATTCTGTGCATTCAACGATTTGGTGATTGCAGTGAGGTACTGTGTTCAAACACAAGGATATCCACAAAGCGAGCAACATGGATTTCACCAGACACTAGGACACACTAAAAATCAGATCGACTTCACCTCAATGTGAAGAAAGTGGAGACGCAGCCTACTTGATACAAGGTCGAGAAGAGGAGCAGATGTAGGTTTTATTCCACTTACTACCTACTGCAAGGAGCCTGCCTTCAAAATCAAGTTGAAAGCCTTCAATTCAAGGGGGCTGGTGCCAGACCACATTTCAAGTTCAACACCCAGAACAGAAAGCGAAGTACGAAAACACTAAGGACATCTTCACGGCAGCCAGTAATCAGAACAAAATGGGAGACATTGAGCAACTTCCGTGATAAATCGGGCGTGGGAGAACACTTGAACTCTTCGAAAGAGATGCGAAAAAAAACCTGAATAACCGTATTAGAAAGAAAGAGGAAACAAGACAAGGAGTGGATCGCGACGGATACATGGAAGCTAATAGAGTAGGGAATGGAGGATGGTGAAGCACAAGATAAACCAGTGCAAGGAAGTGAGCACACCCTATAAAACACTACACTGGACAAAGAAGTGAAGAAGAGTGCACGCAAAGACAAAAGACACTTCTACGAAACACTGGCAAGTGAAGCAGAACAGACTGCAGGTAGGAGAGACCTCACAACATTGTATCAAATAACCAGGTTACTATCTGGGAAGAGATCATCACAGCACAGAGGAAACAAATAAAAGATGATGAAGGGAATTTGATCACCAAAGAGGAGAAACAAAGGAAACAATGGGTTGACCACTTCAAAAAGCTCTTGAATCGACCACCACCACCACCTGCAACTCATCCAGAAATACCACCTACAGCCCAGCCACTGAACTACAAGTGAACATAAATCCTCAAACAAAAGTCGAAGTCCTGAGCGCCATAAAGCTACTGAAATGCAGGAAAGCAGCAGGACCTGATGGAATCCTGCCAGAAGCACTGAAAACAGACGCAGAGACAATAGCGCACATGCTCACACCACTATTGCAGAAGGTTTGCAAGGAAAGGAAGGTACCTGCCGACTGATTGGAAGAAGGGTTACCTTGTCAAACTCCCGAAGAAGGGAGACCTCAGTGTTTGCAAGAACTGGTACGGAATCATGCTGCTGTCCACCCTAAGCAAGCAAAATAATAAGCCGCATCATCCTGGAGAGACTAAAGGATGCACTGGATTCAAAACTACGACCGCAACAGGCTGGCTGGCTGGCTATATTCAGGAAGTACAAATCATGTGCAGACCAAATTGCAACGCCACGCTACGCATCATCACAGAACAAAGTATAGAATGGCAGTCAACTCTACACCTCAACTTTATCGACTTTGAGAAGGCATTTGATAGCGTCGACCGAGAGGTAATTCGGAAACTGCTTCAATACTACGCAATACCACAAACCTTTATCAACCTCATTCAACAACTATATGAAGACGCCACATGCCAGCCAAGTAATTCACAATGGAAAGTTCTGTGATGCTTTTGAAGTGAACACAGGAGTGAAACAAGGTTGCCTACTATCCCCCATGATATTCCTGATTGTGGTCGACTGCATCATACAGCAAACAGTGGGGAGCGAGAAGAGAGAAATATGCTGGCTGGATTGCGGAAAAGAACCTAGAAGATCTGGATTTCGCCAACGATGACTTGTGTCTGATGTCACACAAACTTGAAGATCTACAGGCGAAAACCAACAGGTTGACAGAAGAGGTGAGGCAGCGAAAACAGGACTTCAAGTGAATATAGAGAAGACAGAGGTGATGAAGATACCCAACCAACACCACCACCACCACCATCAACAACAAACTCCAATCACCATCAACACGAGAAACTTAAAGGAAGTAACCTCCTTCACCTATCTAGGAAGCACTGTTTCAACTACAGGCGACACGGGCACAGACGAGGATGTCAAGGCCAGTCAGAATCGGAAAAGCAAGACAGGCCTTCATTAGCCTGAAACCAGTGTGGAGATCTTCTGCACTCAGCCTGGAATGTGAACAAGATCCACATTTTCAACACCAACTTCAGTCAAGTCAGTGCTTCTGTGTGATGGTTCAGAGACTTGGCGCGTTACGAAACGGATTTCCAATAAACTACAGACATTCATCAACAACTGCCTACACTGGCTCGATACTGAAGATCAGATGGATTGCCAGAAAGAATAAGCAACAAGGAGCTCTGGGAACGAACCAACCATGAACCTACCACCCAACAAATATGCAGTGGAAGGAAGTGGAGATGGATTGGGCATACACTGATTAGGCTGACTGGGGACATCACAAGTCAGGCCAGGTACTCGAGTGGAATCCTTATGGGAAGCGATGAGTTGGGTGTCCGAGGTGAGGGTGACATGGAGGAGATCGTGCGAGGAGGAAATGAGAGCTTGTGGGCTGTCGTGGAGCTAGGTTCGAAAGATTTCAGAGAACAGAGTTCACTGGAGACGTGCTACTGAAGCCCTATGTTCCATTAGGAACCCAAGGGACAAATAATAATAATAATGCTTTGTCTACTTTGATATATCACCCTTATTCTATCCACTTCTACTTTGTATACTACTGCAAAGTGTAGCAACTTGAGCCAATCGATCTGTGTACGAGGTTCTACGTCGATTTTGTCGGTGAGTCAGTAGATGGTAGTGTCGTGGATGATACTGATAAGAAAGGATATAAGTAGTATATTTTAAGAGGTCGGCAGACGTCATAGGCTATTTCTAATACATATCCGACAACCGTGTGAACCATTTGGATTCATGGTCTGATATTCCGAGACTTAGCACTATCTGACAGCGAGAATGCCGCTCCCATATCTATTAGACACACGATCTCCCGATCACTTATTCGCATTCTAGCAAACGCACCACCTGGGTCTATAGCTCCGACAATATCTAGTTTAGTAGGAAAAACAGAACCCATATTATACCGTTTAAAACTTTTTCTTTTTCGCCTCTGCGGACAGATTCTTCGCCAGTGTCTCAGTGTTCCGCATGTGAAGCATTTACTCTGTCTGTTGACATTTATTCGAAGTGCAGTCACCAACTCTCGAAGGTTATTTGACTTATTTTCTGTGGTTATTTACCTCTGGCGACTCCACGGTAGCTACTGCTGTACCCATCATCTGTCTGGTCACCTCCGTCAGCTCACTAATATCCATGGGTTGAACTGAGTTCACTAGTAGAAGCTGGTGGGCAGTAGCATTCGGGACACTTTCCGTGAACTGTGCAGCTAGCAGCTGTGCCTGGGAGTCCTCATCCAAAATCGGAAGTGCCGATAGAAGTAGTCTCGTCAGCTTCATAGCCAATACCAGTGGATATTAGTCTATTCTAAGTTTCGTGCTCCGGAACGGCTACAGTCCAACTCCCTGCCAAACTCCGACTCCACTCGTTCAACCATTCCCTCCCAAATCTCCTTCTTATCCTTGTGTTCGATGTCGTCATATGCCTTAATCTCAATGTATATATATAAATCAGTAATCCCACGGGTATCAGACGAAGAAACAACACAACACCGCAGTCAGATAACAAATGTATATTTAATAGACCGTGCCAAAATACCAATTTGTCTCGATTAACTAGTTAGCTAGAGAATCGTGTACAAGCAACGCAACGTAACACAACAACGTGCCAAATAGCTTGAATGCTTGACTATTTACCTTCAGCTTAGTAAATCCGTTAAAATTATGACGGTCAACATCAATCAATGTAGAATCTCGTCGAATCCTAGACTATTGATTATGGAGGATTATTTTCCGCTAGAGTATCATGCAAATTATTATTGAGTGAAAATAATCGGTTAGGGTACTTGTTGTGACGTTGTAGCAAAGCGATCTATCATACTCATATAAGTATATCTGACTTACTAAGAACCTACTTAATGCATGATATTCCTATATGACTCAATTCATAAGCTTCAGTTAAACGGCTTATTGATTGTTGTTTGCTAATTAACACTTACATTATCGGTGTCTTCTGTGAAAAGTTGTAAATTTTCAATCTGTAGCTGACAGCATAGGTGTGTGCTTTAGATTACTATCAATAATAAGGATAACAAGTGGTACCAACATTGGCTTGAGTTTAACAGACGATGGGATAGGAAGTGGTGAATAAAACGAAATGTGAAGAATAGGTTTAGTTTTACCAGCTTATGCCATATGTGGAGCCAATACGATATCCTAGTGTTTAGTAAAGGTGGAGGGTACTTTGCTGCAGTACGCTCTCTTCTACTCTATCACTGTGAAACATGACCATTAAACGTAGAAGACAGGAGAAGGTTTCAGGTGTTTGACCATTGTTGACTTCTTAACATAGACCATGTGAATAACGCAGAAGTCAGACGTAGGCTTTTAGGCAGGAGACGTAGGATAACTGATGCGGTTGCGAACCTTCAATGACTCACATTGCTGGTTCCGACATATGTTACATACGCCTAACCACCGTCTGCCTCATAGCACAATGTTTACCGAAGTGTGTTCAGGCTCGGAGTGACCAGGCCAAACACTTGGCATCAATGCATCAAGTCCTTCATTGTTTCATGAATACTAGCCGGTTGGGGTCCGCTGGACAAGAGAAACCAGTGAGTTGTTGGAGACTCTATGTGATATGGCCGAGAACCGATGTCAGTCGCCCACATGTATACACACACTATCTTCATCTTAACTGCTGTACCTAGTCTCATCATGTTCTCATTCTTTCTTCTTTCCTCTTTTTCACCACTTTCTACTTCTACTTCCTTTGACTAATTTTTCTTTCTCTTTTCATTGCCTAGTTACTTGGTATACTGATATGAGGTGTGTGGCAACTTGGAGCGTTACGCAGTAACAACTAGTCTTATGTTGATCTTAATGATGATGCGAAGATGATACACAAGAAGAGATGAAACTACATATAAGAAGTCGAGTTGTATCACTGAGATTAAAGTTCTTTTCCGAAATGGACACTCAAGGAACTTAAGGCTTCAGAAAAAAAAATACAAACATTTAACGAAAACCTTTTTCATAACTTACACTTGTGCAAAATACTAAATGAACGCTTACATAACACCTTAATTGTGAAATTACGGTTGATTACATCATCTGGTCTGAATAATAAAAAGTCCGCAATTGAATTGCTAAGCTCAAAGAACAAAAAAAAAATTTCTATTCTCATCTTGATCCCATAGTTAACTGAGTCGATACAGAAGAAGTCAGTAAACAAAAGTAAAAAATAAAGTAAACTAATTGGATGGTAGATGAACAACAATTGTCCCCTTCAGTGATTTGCATTTCATTGAGCTACGATATCATGAATTCAGGGCTAACACCTATGACTGCAAGAACGATATAAATCACGTGAAAACACCTCGTAAAAAAATTTTCAACTCCATACATAGACAAAAGTATACCAGTACAAAACCAAGAAGGTAAATCCCGACATTGCAGTAGTAGTGTATAGATGAGAAATTGGAACATCGAAGATGACTTCGATCTCAGAAGTCAATTTTCAGTCAATTCCTTTCAATTTTTCCAATATCAGCTAACTTCTGCTACAACTACTTCCTATAAACTAATCCCATTAATATTCATCATGAACAAACATTAGTCGAATAGCCACTGAGAACCTGGAAGCAATGGACAGCTGTTTCGTCTTAGTGTGGGATTCCTCAGTAGTGTGCACCCAGAACCTTCAGATTCCGTGGCCATCACGTTGCCGTCGAGTCACTGAGTTGGTATCCACACTCAACTACATTTTCTACTTTTCTCAGTTTACGTGACCAGTGAAGATGACCAAGTTGAACATGAGGACAGTTATTCAGCAACGGTAGAGGATGGAAGTTACGCAATTTCGTCAACCGACAGAACTAGGAAATGTGGACCAACGGATGCCATCCAAGTAGCTGGCTGTGGAACCTGAGAATCGTGGATTCGGACACTGGCGTGGTCTTGGCTATGCACTCCTGAGGAGTCTGATGCCGGGACGGACTGATAAATATCCACCTGAAATCAATGAATGAATCCCCACAAAACCTCTAAATTTAATTTAATCAATACAAAAATGAGAGAGATTAGTAAAAATAATTTTTCTTTGTTCCAAAATCAAAATCAACTTTATCAAATGCATTCAGAAGTAAATAGAAAAGTTTTAAAATTATTTTTTTTTACCTACACACTCATCTCTTTAGCGACTAGACAGCACGTATTCAATTTATCGAAAAGACGAGAGGAATGGAGAATAAGTTATCTCTTCAGAGGAGGATCACTGCTGCTTCTACTACTACTACTGTGTCAACAAGTTAGGCGGTAAGTGGCCAACATCACCAAATCGACAAAGTGTAACCACAGAACCCAACTTTGACATCGTCATCTCCTCTCTACAACTCGAGTTTGTATTATCATCATCATCATCATCATCAGATCCCCTGCTGGTCATCAGACATTCATCATTTGTAATAATCAAAGTACTAATACTTCCATGCCCTAGAGATAAACGTAGCCATGCCTCACAGGGTAATTGTAACACTTTACATATCCAGTAACGGAATACATTTGCATGACCAATGAATACAATTGTCTCGATTGGTTTATGCTGAGAAATACGATGACATGGACAATCACACTTGATAATAATACTATTGCTACTGTTGTCACCATTGCCTCGTCCTCCATTACCAGCAGCAGCAGTTGTTGTTCGATTCGTCTCCGGACAACATTCGATTGGACAGGAATCTGGACCATTACAGGCGATAACACCTGACTTAGTGATTGGTTGGCGATTTAAGTGCACTTGAAATCCATAATCGATTCGAACACCTTCTTTCGAACGTATATTGTCAGATTTTTTCGATGAATCTTTAGTGAAAAAGGCAGACGACATAATCAATTAACTTTATGAAAAGAATGTTGACTTATTAAGGTTATGAGTGCATGTAACTAACGAACTAGCTCACTGTAGTATTCCAGGCATCCAAGAAGGTTTCGTACTTGTCAGCACTCATCAATAGGGCATATATATATTTGCAGCCTTGAGAGAACTGGTGTTCCATGTAAGATTAGCACTAGGGTCGCCAAGTATTCCGGTCAGGGATGGTGATCACTCTGTGACATTAGTAGCCTACTCTAAAAGTTGCTACTGGTGCACAAATGAGTGAAATCTCTGTTCCAGTTAACAAATATCCCCAGCGATTGGTACCAGTGTACTGCTCCCCTAACTATCGTATAGTGCTGGATACTAGATCTTACGGTTGTATTGGTGACTTTATGAACGAGGTAAAACCTGTCCTACCTAATGTCTAAATACTGAATATTATACACCATTTATCCGTAGGAATAAATCCAACCTTCATACTTTTTGATGTTACTCTCTAAAGTCTATTTTCATTGTAAAAATCAAACCTTATTTTGGCGCCTTTTTTACTCTAAGCAATGGTATTTATTTTTACCGCGGTTTAAAATACCAAAAGCTGATTGGTTCATTTCGTACTTTCAATATGCTAATCAGTTTTCCCTGGTCAAGGTCACTGGAGAGAAAAAAATATATGAACGATTGAACTTCCAGCAGCTATCATGGCATTATTTCAGTTGAAGCAAATATACCTTCAATCCCAAGATCTTCTTCTAGTGTCAGCTGGGTATCACGTTGAGAAGCTATTATTCTATCCTTAGTCGTATTGCTCATAGTATTATATAGTTCATACATAAACCGCAGAATAAAACCTCTGTTGCTTGCTGCCGCTTAAATACAATGAATAAATTTTCGATAATTTATTGGCACTTGACATCTCTCGTTGTTTTACTGATTCGTATCAATCGAGGTTTGCTGGTATATAGGCTCTTGTGTGTATGGACGGACTATAATTTGAATGATGATGCTTGGGCTCGAGTCCCAACGGGATGCAGGTATATCAAGTTGGTGAGTCCCGCATAGGACAGAACATGCGTCCTGGTTTTCACTACTACACACCATCAAACGAATTTCCAATAATAGTGGAAGTTAATACGATCATACACTTAACTCCACTTTATATTTGACCGACTACCTGTTATCTAATCCCTGGTCAATAGTTAGTAACTGAAGTGACTGAGAGAACAATAGAAAATACGCGAACGGCATTAAAGCTATGAGGCATTTGGGATGGATATATATACCGACTGTCCTCCTTCACTAAGTTGTTTTTCATCGAGTTGTAAAGATATCGGAAGACAAAGACTAGTCTGTGATTGTAAAGAAGACATTTTATTCGACAAAAAATATATCATGCGTATATATCGTTTTTATGGACATTTAGAAAACCACTAGGTCAAAAGTTAAATAACTTATTCTGATTAGTCAACTGTAGGAAAAAATTATCCAATAAGGTTTTTATTGACCACACAGAAACATAAAATAGAGATTGATAACCTAGAATAATGATTTCAACTTAGGCTGCTTCTTGGTTAGATATTTTGTAGATAAGTGACAATAATTTTCATCGTGGATATTGGTACAGACAACTGATTTAGTTGGCCAATAGTTGTGTGTGCTATTCAGGGCGACTGGAAGGGGAGAGGTGAGATAATTGCTTGACCATCTTGGTCTAGTGTACATCTCTTCTGAAATCAAATCAAATCGCTCATATATTAAGCATACCAGGTTAGTAGTACCACATAGTTTTAATCTTGGGGTATGTAGCAGAGCTTAAGAGAGTACCCGATTGACTGAAAGTCGTACAACTTCCAACTTCAATGAACGATATTTACGCATGCAAAGTGTATTTACAACTATTCCCTAAAAAAATGATAAGAACAGGGAACTGCCGACTTATTGTTTCGGTTTACAAATAAACTGTTGCTCGTAGAGAAGACACTACAAACACTAATGACTATTCATCTTATCTGAGGTTTTCCTCCAAGTTCCAGACTGGTCTTCACGACCTGTGGATGTTTCAAGATAAACATGGTGGGACGATCCCTCGCGGAGCAGGATACATGAGCGTAAAATATCTACATGAAAACGAACAACACTCCTGCAAGAGCATTTTGTTAACGCCCCTCCAACTGATCAATGTTATCCCAAAAGTTTCCCAACTGTCAGACATTAACGTGTCCACATTCACCAGGTAATCGGTTCGTTAGCTGTAGTCACCACCCAGTGGACAGATGTTCGTAGGACGCGTTAGACTGAAGTCTCTTTACAACGTTACAGACCTAAGTGAAGGTCAACTTCCCGAAAAAACATTTCTCTCGGAGGCCTGACCCGTGAATCATCAGATTCACAGCGGCAGCTCATTTCGGGCTGTTGATATACAGCTAGCGCTAACGACACCGATATTGTGAATCGAATATCGCTCACCCTCATTAGGTGAAACTACACCTATCAACAACAATAACTACCAGGATTAAGAAGCCGGATTCACCTAATCTGTCAGTTGCATTTCTCTCAGCTCATTGGGCGGAATCCCAATAGCTAACAAAACCATCCATGTTTTGAAGACTCGCACCGCTACTCTTGTGCGCATGGATTTCGTCGACCATAGTTTCCCACGAGTCGGTTGCTATCTGACGGGGCCGTGAGAAGGTTTGCCGTCGTATCCGATAAGACTCAATCGGTAATCGCCGGTTCACAAAACATCCACGACTTTCACAAAGCAGCAACATAAATTCAGTACGACTAAACCGCCTCATGTAATCCTTCTTCCCATTAACGCCCTGGTATATAACTTATAGAGTGGATCTATGCTCCCAATAAAGTCACAGTTTTACACCAAGGACTATTCACCTTATAGCACTTTCAGTTAGTAAAACGCTAAACCAGTAATCCGGAGATCACTCATTGGAATCCTGCAGCAACTCAGTCACCAGGCAACTCATGATTTATACAACTGCATTTCAGTTCTTTATACTTCTTAATTTTCTATATCTCTACCATCCAACAGTTACCAGTATTTATACCAGAACCTAGAAAAATCAGATCACTGTCAAGTCACTCGTAGACTGTTTTCATATTACAAGTGTGAGTGGAAGTGCTGCTCTCTGACAAAATCCCAACGTGTATTCAAAAGGCCCATTTAGTATTTGACAGCCTTCACTATCTCCGGTAACAGTAAGATATCCGAGTACCCGGTAAGGAAGGAGTATACTCGACTGCAGTACGTTCAATCTTAGTTCTTGAAATAGTGGAGAATATTTGTAGCTCAGGTGTATGGTCTTGTTTGTTTTGCTTTCTCTGAGCTAGCTTGTTTAATCGTGGAGAAGCTTTCATCTTCTTTCTAGACAGCGACATCATCAGCACTAACTTCAACATGAAGTGAGTTGTTAATATCTCTCCATGAGTGATTCAGTGGGTTGCCCTGACAAACTCGTTTGTGATTGGTTGTTTCCTCTGATTGTTGTGTCACTGACCGACTGCATTGATTTTCCTGTTGGCTGTTCTTCTAATTCACCTCTGACCTTTCTGTCATTTATCATGTTTATTATTGGTTGATACATTGGGTTCACATCTATACATCTGTTGGTTGCTGACTGACTTACCTGAATGCCAACCTTCTAGGAATTCTCTGATGTTCTTTGTATTTCCTCTCTCTATCCATGATTTCTACATTGTCAATTCAATTCAGTTCATGTCCATAGTTGCTATCCACGTGGATTCAGCGATGAGTAATTAAATGTCGCATGTGACGTTTAATAGCCATTTGGTGTTCATGTAGACGAAGGCGAAGAGGTCGACCACTTTGACCAATGTAGTGTTGACTACAGTTATTGCAGTTGATTTCGTAAATGATATTCGGTTCGACTTATTTAGTTGTTGCATCCTTTGGTCTGCATAACAGTGTTTGCAGGGAATTTGTTGGTTTATGAGGCGCCACACCAATTCTAAGTGGTTTCATTAATCTTGTCGTGATTTCTGATATATTCTTTATGAAAGGTAGGATGATGCGTCATTATCATCCTACCAAATCCCTTGCAATGATTGTGAGGTCAAACATATAGGTCAAAGCAGTCGACCAGGGTCACTTATAATAACAGAGCACAAAAACTTAGCCGAATCAAGATTAGTAGATCCTAATAAGATAAGAAATTCAGAGAAAAGCTCGGCTATAGCTTTGCACTCAATTACAGACAATCATACAATAGAGTGGGATAGAATGACAATACTAAAAAATAACTTCGTTGGAGAGATTGACAACCGAATCATCTTTGTTTACCGAATCACCACGGGAATGATTCTGCACCTGTCGCAGATATGTGGGGAATTCTACTACCCTTGTCATCACAGAGAAGGAGAGAAAATTAGGACTATATACACTCTGTCCCGAAGTTGTGGAGTTACCTGTCCGAAACGTTGTTATCCGGTAAATGATGCTGTTATTCACTGTGTGACATTTCTAGTCAACAAACTGAAAAGCAATTACAATCTGTAGACCGGGATATGTTTCTTTTTATCTGCTTACCTTGCAAGACTTGAAATATTTTGAAAAGCTCACAAAAAAACAATTCTTGAATCGACCACCACCTACAACTCTTACAGAAATAGCACCAGCAACCGTAGAATTACCAGTAAACACAAGCCCTCTGACAAAAGCAAAAAGTACTGAATATTATAAAGTTGCTGAAAGCCGGGAAAGCAGCAGCACCAGATGGAATTCCTCCAGAAGGACTGAAAACAGACGCAGACACATCCGCGGACATACTCACACCAGTATTGCAGAAGGTTTGGAGTGAAGGAAGGAAAGGTGTCTGCGTAGTGAAAGAAAGACTACCTTGTCAAACTCCTAAAGAATGGCGACCTTAATCTTTGCAAGAACAAGAATTGTCGCGGAATCATCCCCCTGTGTACCAGAAGCAAAATATTATGCCTCATCAAACTGGACAGA